AGCTGGGCTTATTGTCAGCTGCCAGAATCTGTGTCGGGGATATCCCAGGATTCATAGAGAGCAGTACTTAGCCGGGAACTGAAGTTGGCTCCTCAAGGAATTCAGCATTGTGTAGAACTTCACTTTTTCAAAAAGGCTGTGCACAGTGTTAGACTTGGTAGGAAGAACTTGATTCATTTCAGGCTATAGAGTTACTTAATATGCTTTGATATTGAGGCTGTCAACAGGAAAGAGCAATTGGTCAAATGGACCTTCTGTTGAAGGGAGAATATTGGGTAGAATTCTCTTGACATACAGACTTACTGTCTCTCTCAGCCTGGCTTCTTGAACTAAAGTTAAAGTTCTGACCTGAACAACAGTAGTTGCGGTCTTGTGGTTAGTGATGTGATCAACATCTCTTGATAGAGAGAGCCAAGAGGAGCAAAGAATATTGCAGTGCTATACCTTTTAAACCCAGAAATTACAGTTTGTGAGGTATGACATTATCAAATGTAGTGCTGCTTATCAGAGAGGCCCCCTTCAGCTGTATTTCTGGTGCTTTACACAGAGGCCCAGGTGACTAGGGTTATTGTCTGGTCAAGGCAACAGAAATATTATTAGTTCAAGTAGGTACAGTAGCTGCTTCAGCATGCCTACAGTAGGCTGCAAAGGAACCAGTAAAGGCTTATTCCATTCTGAAAAGAGAAGAAAAGAAGCGCAATGTTTCTTCCACACCTGAAAAAAGCTCCACAGCCAAAATGTTGTGTATCTTTCCTTCTCTTTTCGGCGTGGAATAAACTTTACTTGTTCCTTTGCAGAAATATAATTAGAAATATTTAAAAAGCACCTAACTTCTAGTTTAATAATCTCTCTTGTGGCTACACCATACTGTGGCATTGATGTCAAATTTTGTCAAGAAAGAAATTACATCAACACCACTTTCAGCAGCAATCTAGTGTTCTTTGGAGGTCTCCCCATCCTTCCAGTGCTTGTAGGATCTGAAGACAGCAGGCTATAAGGCAGTAGCACAGCAGGTAAAAGCAAAGGCCTTCCAACTGGAAAGAGAACAGTCCACAGGGAGTGGTGATTCCCCTCTTTCCTGGTTTGCCTTTCTTTGCCAGACTCTTCTTTTTGTAATTTTTTTTGTTAAAGTTTTTTTTTTCCCTCCCTGTATGGATTCTGACAGTTGGAAAGCTCTGTCAATGATCCTGGCAAGCCAGACGAAAGCCAGAGGGAGGGAGAGGGAGAGAGAAGTCACGGGGTTAGTTTAATAAGCCCTGTCAATGCTTCGTTGCCTTTAAACAAATAAGGATGACAGATGATGAAGTGGCAAAGCACCACAATTATTCACCACCTGCCAGTGTGACTTCATCCTGAGCTCAGTTCCTTTTCACAAAATGCAAAGAAGAGCTGGTTTCATTATTCATTTATAAATATTAATTTATTATTTGTTACTCATAACTTTTGAATGTTCAGAGCAAAGCAGGAGGTTGCCCATTTATAAGAGAATTATGAAGGATGGGTCACTGGCTGGGTCATTTGCTATGCTGCGTTGGAGTGGTCAGTAATTAAGAGCAGCAGTACCGAGGGTGTGCTCAGCAGGCAGAATGCCTTAATTGAAACAGGTTTGTCACCCATCACCTTTTGTCAAGGTGGCTTTGAGCTTAAGCAGCACATTCCATAAATAGTGTGTTATGTGACTTAGCAAGTTGTTCAGAAATTCGAATATGAAGAAGATATCCATTTTTTAAGAGTTTTCAGTGATTAGGTAAGAAGTGGACTTAAGGCAAAAATAAGTATACACTGCTACTTTTCAGTTCCACACAAGTGCATATATTTTCATTTTCCCATCTCCAGAGATTCTGAAAATGTATTAATTCACTTACTATACAGTATATACTGTATTATTTCCAGACATGAGCAAGGTGAAAACATATGTTTAACACCTGCTACAAACACTGTGTTGTTTTTGAATATTTTCTCATTCACTTACTCCAAACTCCGATATAGTGATAGCACAAAGGCATTGCTCTCCTTTCTCCAGATCATGGCGCATCATTGACAGGATAGAAACTGAATGACTGGCTGTGCTCCCCCACACACTATATGGTGAGGTACAGAGTACTGATTTAGTTCAGCTTCCAACATATTGATAGCACAAAGAAATTATTTCCCCACAAAGAATATGTGGGACATACAGTATTAGTTTGTTTCTGTGTTTTTCTTTATTTTTTTCAGATCAGACACCTAAAAATTGAAATAATCTTGTGCCCCATAAGCTCTTTCACTAATGAGGTGATTAAACGGCTATGCATCATTCCAGTGTATCACAGTCAGTCGAGAAATAAATAAAAAAAACATTTAACCATTTTCCAAAACCATATACAGTACTTTTGTAAATCTTAGTTTTATTAGTGAAATCTTTAGCACTGAAGTTTGATTACATGTATATTTTCTAAAATTGTGTATTCAAGAAGCCTAAAGGCTACAAGCTTTGGAAAATGAGGGAGGCAAAATTAATGACAGCATTAAAACCACCATTCTTAAGAAAGGGGGAAGAATTGTTGAATTTAATGACAGGCCAGCAAAAGCAGGAAATTGGAGTTCTAAGATGATACAAGTGATGGCAGGCCCTTTCTTCTGAGTTGCAAAGGGAATGGAGCTTACAGAGCTGAGGATTTGCGTCATTTGTGCTTTCAGATGTTATTTTGGAATAAAGTTCCAGTCTAATCCAGTCGTTTCACTGCCACCATCTTAATTGACTTTCAGATATGCAGATGCCTATTTCTTTCAAAGTGCGTTTGCAAAGCGGCTGAGTGCCAACCAGAATCCCCTTCAGGAGAATTGTGTTTCTGTCCATGCAAATCTGTCAGTTAGAGGTTAAGAGGCAACCCTGAGGCCTCCCACAATCATCCTGTGTTGGGGGAAGTGAGGCAGTAATCCTGATTAATCTTTGGATCCCTCTTCCTTGGGTCTGTCGCATCGTCTCCAGCATTCAAAAGGAAGTTCTGGGGTCCACCATCTGAAGCAGTACAGCTTTGGCAAGTCATTCTCAAAGCGGTCTTAAACCTTCTTGATAAAGAGACTTTACAATGGATAATTGCATCCTTACTGCAAATACTTTGTGTTCTCACATTTATGGTGAAGCAGGCAATATGCGGATTATTACAGTCTGTGGATAAAGGACTGCATCTTTGTGTGGCAGCCACCTGGTATGATTTACAGTACAAAGCAGCCCATTCCCTTCCTGGGGCTCACTATGAGCCCTACACCATCTGAACTCTGTAAATGTGGATCCTGCTTATTTTTTTCTTTGGTTTCCTCCCACTTTCCAGAAACATGCAAGCTGTGATTGGCTACTCTAAATTGTCTCTTTCCTGGGAGCTTTTAAGGGGCTTTCATGCATGGGGGTTGGTTCCCAGTATACTCAGATCTGGTTGTTATAGCCAGTACTGGAAACAGAACAAGAATAGTATAAAGAAATAGAACACAATGAGGCTGAAGAGCCAGATGGCTTCCTCGCATTGGTGGCCAGTCCAATGCTATGATTTTAGCTTTGATCGTTGGATGTGGCTCTTAGACCAGACATTGCTGGTACAACTCTAAACTGCCATTGAAATTTCCGAGTTGGCAGCAGGGTTAGATGGGCTTTGGTGAGCAAAGGTTATGTTGACTTTCTAAACACTTGTGGCTCGCTGACCATTTGATCATTTTTGAGCTTGCAGCTTTACATCTAACCCTGCTTCCGACTAGGAAATTCCACTCACAGGAGGATGAGGAATTGACTTGTACCAACAATGGCTGGGCTTATAGAGCTCTACCTGATACCCTAAATAAGCAGCTTTAGAGTTTTGTTTTTGACTTGGCGAGTAAGCTCATTCCATTACCCTGGCAATTTTAAGAAAGAAATAAGGAATCGTTTATCACAAACCCTGGCTCTCTGTGTCAGTGGTTTGAACAGTGAGAGTCTCTGTGGTTGCGATTTTAATGAATCTGTGTTTTTTTCATTTACCATTGTTTTTCACCCCCAACATCAGCCCAGAAAATGATTTCACAGCATCCAGTGAAATTTGGACATGAATGCTAGTCATGACTACCCCTGCAGAAGAATCCCTAATCACCCTAATCACTTTTTAATGTTTGATGCCATTACATGATGGAAATATGCTCCTCTTGCTATTCGTGAGAGTGATTTTAATTAAGCCATTCTTTGCAGTGTTCTCACAATGGCGCCATGGCAGACCGATCAAACCACTTAACTTGTCATTCAATAGTCAATACTAGATCATTTCCTTCCTCTGACTGTGACATTGTGTCTTTGACCATTTTTGTATCACCCTTGAATCCACAAATGCTACAGAGATATTTGCATCTTCAAAATATAAAAGAAATAAAACATTCCTATGACTTGTGACAAGGCTTGCATAATATTGTAATGCCATCATTAATTCAGGGATAGCTAGATTTTCAGGAAAAAGAATAAAAAGCCCATAGCAGCATTACGTGTAAAAGAGAGCAGGATTTTTCTAAAGCATGCTTGAAATTAAAACTGAATAAAATGTATTTAATACATGGGTGTTATTTTGCACCTGACCACATGCATTATGGTTGGGTGGCTTTTGTTATTTCCATACAGAACAATATAGATTGCTGGAGCGTGTTTAGTCACCAGCAGACCTCAGGGCAACTGACTTTACAAAAACAAAAATGAAAATGCCAACTCCAAAAAACACGTCTTGAGTCTGCCCTTAAAAATAAATTTACAGTATGTACTTCAGTGAAGTGGACGCCTGCCCTGTTTCTTTGTAGCACATTTATATTGCACCAGACGGTGCTTGAAGGTAAACTCTCTGACAAGGCCTCAAACATGAACTTGTTTGGATGTGGTTACTTTAAAGCAGACCTGCTGCTTATTCCCAAAACACTTTTCACAAACTTCCGCGCAGTCCCCACTCACTCCATAGGGACAGATGTTACCTGGAGAGCCAGCTGACTCGAGCACTATGTATTCCTCTTTCCAGGCCTGAAGATCCACGAAGTGATGATTAATGTGTCCCGACAGCAGGTTGAAGATTTTCACGGGCCAGAAGATTACTGGTGTTTATGTGTCGCCTGGAGTCACCTGGGTACATCAAAAAGTCGCAAGGCCACAGTCCGAATAGCATGTGAGTTGGGTTGTGGGGGAGAAGGAACTCTTTTCCTACGTGTAAATATCTGTTTGCAAAATGCAACAGAAGGCATGTTGTTTGGATTCATAAATTTGTTGGTGTTAAGGCTCTTTTTTCTTTAATGTGTGGAATTTTGCTAGGTATGAATATTGTAAATCTAATCATTTATGATGGTTTGAAATGTCTAAACCCACTTGAATGGGTTTGAATGTGTGCTGGAGTGACCAGTCTGTGTTATGCTTTGTTTTTATGGAGAACAGACATTTCCAATTAAAAATAGCTATCATATAGTTAATTGTGCCTTGTTGTTTTGTACCCAGTTTCTAAAACAAGGCTTGAATGCTTTCAAAAGCAAAGGCATTAACTTGGAGAACTGTGTGCATGACAGAGGAAGACATGATTTGCATTCAGATGATGGTTCTTCCTTATCTTTGCTTGCAGACTTGCGGAAGAATTTTGAGCAGGACCCTCAGGGAAAAGAGGTGCCCCTCGAGGGCATGATTGTGTTGCACTGCCGTCCCCCAGAGGGAGTGCCTCAGGCAGAGGTAAGACACGCTATACCACTGTGCTCCAGAAGGAGGCGCTCTAACATTCAAAAGAACCCTGCTGCCTCAAAAGATAACTAAGTGGGGAAAAGAAAATAAATCATGCACGTTTTTTTTTCCAGTTGTAATTTTTGAATAAAGCAGAACAAGGTACTCTCCAAAAGTTTGTTTATTAATTATTTTAGGGCTCTGCTTTCATTGATGAAGTCTCTACAGCAGACAAATTGTTGTATTATCGGTAAGCCACTTTACAACTCAACTGTCTTTCTGTGAGAAGGTAAACTAGCTATTGACTGAGATATACACAAGTAAAATAAATACTACAAAATAGATGCATTTTTATTTTAATTTATTTTTATATTAGTAATACACAGATGCTACAATATCCATTTTTAAGCTGCTGTCCCTAGACCATACGGATCTTCCTATGTACACTGTACGGTGGTACTAGAGAAGAGTTTTGACGCTGTTGAGTGTTGATTGAGTAAACACCTGGCAGAGCAATTTTGGACCCTATCCATAAAAACCTTCTAGTTGTGATTACATCCCCACTACAAGGGCAGATTCCTGGGACTCAAATCATAGCGTAAACTCTAAGCAATAACTATTTCTCTTCACACTATTTGTCAGGAGACATGAACAACACAAAGAGAAATGGCATAAAAATCAGTGAAGAATTGAATTCTGCCACTTGTATTTTCTGTTTAATATTCACATCTCAGTTCTGTGAGTTACTGTGAGCCATGAAAGGCTTTTTTATATCATGTAAATGCAAATTTTCAATTTATTCTTCTAAAACACTCTCTCTTGGATTTGTGTCAACCTTGCCCGGACATAAAAAAAAATAAAGATTGCATAAATTGTAAAGTAGTGAACATTCACATTATTCTGGTCTTCCACTGAAAATGACATTTAGGTTTAGCACAATTGAATTTGTGTGATGTATAATTCCACTTCAGCGGCACTCTTTTCACTTCTGCAAAAAGTTCTACATTTTTGAAAAATATAGTGTTGTACCCCATCAGCTTTTGTTCGGAAATTCACAGGAAGGTCTTTGGATTTTTTTCACATATTGTTAAGTCTCTAACCCTGCAAAGCTAGGATTCCAGCTTCAGTGAAGGAAGGTTGTGTTCTTAGGGTAGCTATCTGTGAAGTTAAGAACAGCAGCCAGAAAATGGCCTTTTTCTAAACCCTGATGCAGTGAAAAGCTTTTCTCCTGTAGACAGATCACGCACTCTGAGCCAGGACCCTAATGCTTTGAAGAACAGAGATCTTGAAAGCGATCACACTGGAATTGCAACACATACAGGTTTAAAAAATTGCGGATCTTGGAAAGAACAACTACAGACACGTTGCTTAAACAGCTGTTAACAATAGGTGACATGAATAAATAGCTTTTATGTAGCCCTGCTGCCTGCTCTCTAAGGAAAAAGAGTTGAAACTTTCTTCTCTTTTACAAGTTATATTGTGGACTTAAGCAAGCAGCCTAACAGTTTTGAAAACAGCTGTTTAAAACCACATGATAGCGATACAGAAAACTGCGGTTTAAAACATCTCCTCAAGAACTGGCACTTTGTATTTGAGACCTACAAGGGTAATAGCTTCAGACATTTATGATGCAAGGGTATTTGCTTCAGGTATTTTCTGTTGCTTGCTTCTAACCTGAGAGAAAATAGAGCAGTAAAATAACCAGAGGCAAATGAATAATTGGGAGTTGTGTGCATCAGACTACTTGAAGAGGCCATCGTTCTTGCCTGATGTGCTATTTGATTTCCCTGAATGGTGAGTAACTCGGCAAAAGTTCATCAAGCCTGTCACTACTGAGAGCAACAAGCAATCGTGAGTAAAAGAACTATTATGCTGCTCAAGGCTTGCTTGGGGCGGTAAAAAAATCTCCAGAGTTTGCCTTGCAGTTTAAGCATTATATTTTTCACAGGCATCATTTGGCAGCCAGGGACACTGAGAGAGAATATACTGTAACTGCACACTGGCCACATCATTGCCATAAGGCCTTATGAAAGCACCTCAAAAACAGATCTGCAGCACCAAAGAAAGTGACTCAGGCTTTTTTTTTCTGACAGTTCTTTCTTTCTAAAGCCAAAAGGCAATCTGTAGGAGGCCATACCCAGTTTTACATATATGTCTATGTCAATCCAAATCTAGTCCAGCACTCCTGCAGGAATTGGATCAAACGGCAAAAAACACCAGGGGGCAGCGGCTGGAGAAGAAGGCGTTTCTAAAGCCTATGATCCAGAAGCTGTTGTTAAGAGAAGCTGTGTTAAGATGATTGAGGTTTTAAGGAGGCCTTCCCGTGAGGAGGGATTTGCACACATAAGGGTGTTTGGTTGTCCATGGATATGTCAGGTTCAGCCTTGAAAGAGTTTTCTATACACTATGCACTTTCCTGTACTCTGCAGTTTTCACTTGTTGCTTGATTTACTGTAGGCATTCTGGGTTCTCCTCCCTTGCAGTTTCCACAGTGCAATTTGCCTGGACAAATAACTCTCCCAGAAAACCAGATTGAATTGGACAGGGGTGCAAATTAGCATTGCTTAAAATTTGTGAATAAAATTACAAAACATCTTGTACTCAGAAGAGGAAAAATGAAGTGGAAAAGGATATAAACAAATACAGTATACCGGTTTAAAGGCCTTTACCAGTTACTCCAGCTTGTTGAAAGGCTGCTGTGCTCCATGCAAGTGGGTCCTGGAAATCTTTTCAGAACTGCTGTTTATTTTTCTTTGTGATCTGTACAAAAGATGTATCAAGCATATAAACTATACAAAACTGTATTATAGAATCCTCAAGAAGCAGAACAAATTTCAAAATAGTGGATAGATGATGTGATTTTTCAAGACTTGCTTTAAATGTTAATAAATGACTAACTTAAGTTTAAAAGCACTTGAAAGCTACAGAGGGAAATAAATGCACCATTAGGCACATATTAAGCATCAATTGCTTTGTACAGCGTAATTACTCGTCATATCTCCAGTAATATGAAGTTATTAGGTATGTTTTAAATATAATTATTAACCAATAAGGATATTGATAGTTATGTCAGATGGATTTGTAAAGGTTGTTAGAGCAGCACAGTTCAAATTTTAACAGTTGAGCTTGAAAGCAATTCTTATTAAATGCATGTCATTTTTTTTCTTCTGTTCTGAATCATTATTTTGTTTTCTATCCATTCAGAGCAGCATTGGATTGCTGTCACGGGTACAACTCAGATCAGCCCAGCTCCAAAATGTGTCAAACTGGCTGTGGGCACAAAACTGGACCCATACTGCAAGGGTTCTGAACACAGTTGAGCAATCCAGAGGAATCCAAATGTGTCAGATTCAGTGTAGAAATTTGGATCCTTTGATGCTGCTGGTTTGAACCTTGAGATGTCCATCAAAATGATGACACTATACTTTACACTATGAGCCCTTCCATAGATTGTGGCAAAGAAAATAGATACATTACTGCAGGCTTGTGCCTGTGAAATTTAACATTTAAAGTAAGATCTAGTTAAGATTAAATCTGGATTAAATAAACTAAGAAACCAACAAGCAAAATGAGACCATTCAGGTCCAGATAGTATAAAATGATATCTATACATATACAATTTCTTGCATTAGGAATTTGTCTTTTCGCATACCCCACCTTGCTCTCCATGAGACACACAGACAGGGAGAGAAGCTTGGGGTCAGAGCACAGGGTCAGCCATTTATACAGCACCCTTGAGCAGGTGGGGTTAAGGGCCTTGTTTAGGGGCCCAACAGAGTTTGATTCCTCTGCCATCCGCGGGATTTGAATCGGCAATCTTCCAGCCACAGGCACAGATCCTTAGCCACAGAGCCACTGCTCCGCCACCTATAAAATAAAAATCCTAAAATATAGATGCTAGAGTTATGCTAGCACATTTGTAGAAAGTATGTGTATATATTTGAAATTCTGGATGGATTTGTGATCCTGGAAGTAGTTCAGGTCAGTTGTTAAAGCCGTGGACAGAAATTGTGGTTTAGAAAGACAGTTTAACTCGATAAAAGTAGCCTATTAGCATTTCATCATTTGAGGTGTAGAGCCCTTGACAGTACAGTGTCACACTACCTCCAACTGTTTATATACAGTATAATATATACTGTACACATATATGGATATTATATATTCCTAGCCTTTTTCTTGTGGGATAGCCTCCAAGACAGCAAATGATGAGCTTCATTATAAAGCCAAGCAATTACATTTCTAGCCTGGGCACGATGAATTCCATTTGAAACGGAAGATAACACTGCACAGGGCGGAATAGTAATTTGCTGTTTCACGACTCAAGGGAAGAAAGCGGCATTTTGGAAGCAGCAGGGAGGCGTGCAGGCAACAAGGCCCGATCCGCGTTTTCCTCTTTTATTAACCTCTGGAGCAGAACCCAGTGCCAATCACAAATGTTTCCAACAGGGCCGTGCAATATAGGCATGACTGGGAATTGGAGCATCTTTAAAGTAGGCCACAAGTTGACATTTCCTGTGGGCTTGGCCTCATTTTTTGTGTATTTGAGGGAATTTTCCAGTGTTCAATAACTGTGTCTGCAGAAAGGCTGTGTCACTCATAGGATAGTGTATTATATCCAACAAAGAGAGATTATGCCTCTGGGTGGATTCATTTAGACTGCACGGTGGTTCCCAGAACTTTTGAAGGGACTGTTCCATCTCCACTGGGACACTGCCAAAGCCAATTAATCCTTATAATTGCGTTGGTGAAACGGCGCTGTGATCAGAAAATCAAGCAGAGAGCCATAGATTCATTCAATTTGCTGTGCAGTTTGAGAATCCGATTGCTCTGGCTAGCTGCTAGAGTTAAAAGAAAGTGGAGAAAAATGGGGTAAGTTTCACTTCAGATCAAAATCAGGACATAGCTGTCATGGAAAGGCACTTCCGTGTTCTGTCACATCCCGTTTGGTTCTTTTTTACCTTATAATAATCTGATTAAAAAACAAATCAGAAGCTTTTACTGTAAAACTTATTTAACCACTTGAACCATATTGAGAAATACAGAAATAGTATAAAAATCAACTGAGGCAATGCTACGGGCTAATATATTTACTAGTTATCAAAACACTTGGGTTCCAGGAGAAGATGAAGTAAAAACATTGTATAACCCCTCCATAAATGTTTTGCATTGTCGTATTTGCATCTGTAGTGGAACATGCCCAGGCAGCAGTACAACATGATTTTTTTTGCACAAAATGGATGGCTACAATCATGAGGTGGCAAGGATTAAGTAGTTTTCCACATCACCCTCCAGAACACTAATGACAGGATGAAATCATACACCCTGTTGAAATTGGATAAAGACTGTCAGGTTCTCATGATGATGCTTCAGGAAGCTTTGCTGTGGAAAAGTGTGTCATACCCCTGCTTTCCGGAAAACCAAAATGTAGAAAAAAAACCCTACCCTTCATACTTTAAGTACTGACATTTAGCAAACAGACAGAGCTAATAACCAGAAAAAACAGCAAACCCCTGGGTAATTCTAACAGATAACAGTCCAACCTGGTGCTCTTTATCACTCGAGCCAAACTGGTGGATAAATTCAAATGCGAGCCGAAGAAGGATGTTGCCATTGACCCTGATTGCGTCTAAGTGGCTTGGAATGAAATTAGCAGACCCCGTTTTGTGAGAACTGTCTGTCAGCATTGTTGGATGTAATTGAAACAAATGTGCCAATTAGGTAAATTCATTCCTCATGTCCCCGCGCATACTTATTGGGCTAATTTGTATCTGTCCTTCCGTTTCCACCATAGATCTTTTCATCATTAGCCTTCAGCAGCACTTAACATCAGCATTGGAATACAGAGCAGGTATGAGTCCTGAAAAGCACAGACTGACTGTGCAACCAGCTAATTGTCTTCAGGATGTCTTAGATGGAAAGCAAAAAATGAGCACTTCTGGTTTTACTACGTCTCTCCACCATACTGTGGAGTCTGCATGGGGTCTGTTGGAGGCTTTAATCATCAGACATGAGTCAGATTTTTGATCCTGTGGCATATGTACAGTAACATGCTACCATTTCCGGGCTCCTGATACAAGGCTTGTTTCCTTTTTGATCGGCCAGATCAATAGGATCTAAAGAACGTTGTACAGTTTGGGTCTTGGGCTGCCAATAAAAATCAAAAATACTGTTTTCATGCATGAGATGACTTCATACAAAATTCTGTTGGAGTGGACATTCATTCAGTTATTGAAACTCATGATACCATGAGCCTGACTTGCTTTTATAAGTATTGTTTCAGAACCTCATCTGACCCTGATGTCAACTAAAAGATTCTTCATCACAGCAGTATGTCACTTTATACACTGATGTTGCTTTCAAAAGGCCATCCATATAGGACGTCAAGAAAGAATTGTTTGAACTGTCTAGATTAAGTTTTCCCACGTTCAGCCCCTGGGACCCCAGTGTCTTTTAGTTTTCATTCCAAGTGAACTTAGTAGTTTTAATTGAACCCTTTTAGTGAATCTGATGATTAATTAAACTGATTCCATTGCATTCAGTTCTTAAACAGTTGACAGAACACCTATAAGATTATTAGAAGACAAGATTTCAGAGACACATACTGTAACCACCCAAACTTTGCATGTAATTCACAGTATTATTAGGTCCATAATGAGAGCTCAATATGAATTATAACAAATCCCCAAAATACTTATTTGAGACTGTGTTTTAAGATTAAAATCATATTGATTTTGCTTTTTTTCACTTCATAACTTCACAGAGGAGGGTATCCCCAGGAGAGACAAAGAATAATAGATGCAGAAATTCAGAAGAAAGATCGAGCAACATGCTGTCATTGGATTTCTGATGCTAGAGAACACTGATCCAAAGGGAATTTACAAATACAGGTTGAAAGTGTTCTCAAGTGCAAAAATTCAATAATAGAACAAAACATGATTTTATGCTGTGAAGCATCCAGTAAGAGCTACCTGCAAAGAGAAATGGAAAATAAGAAATAAACTAGTGTAGCTTATTTGGCCATCTGAGTATATTCAATGTGTGATATAAAAAATATATTTCTGCAACAGAAATATCATCTGGTGTTTCCTATTGTATGAGGCTCAGATCTTTTCAAAGCACTACTGCATAAATCTTTGACTTCACATGATTAACCTACATGGTATCCAGTTTTAGCATCATGTGCCACATCTAAGATTTTCTGAAATCCTTTTCCACCTTCCGTACCTTTCTAAATGTGTTTTAGAAGGAAAACCAATTCCCTATTGTTCCAAATAAAAAAAATGCATTTCAACTGTGTACATTGACTCTTAAAATGAATCTTCCAAATAGTATTTGCTACTCTTGGTTGCTTTGTGCATTGTGTTATTTTCTTGATCAGTGTTTAAGCAGATTTAAATATACTGTACCACAGTGATTCATATTTTTGAGTATGGGATATAACGGAAAACATGAATATATGGCTGGTTTTAAAGCACACGCTACTGGTGTTTCGACAGGTGGAATGGCTGAAGAACGAGGAGCCAGTGAGCTCTCTAAAAGACGACAACATTGACACAAGAGCAGATCACAACCTCATCATTAATCAGGCAAGGTTGTCTGATTCTGGAAACTATACATGTCTGGCGAGCAACATCGTAGCTAAGAGACGGAGTGCAACAGCGACTGTGGTGGTGTATGGTAAGTTTTGCTGGGGCCCTTTTCCTTTCTTACAAAAGAAGTAGCAACTAAACCCTGCTGAAAGCCTTCACTCTAAACAGCAAACCAGCATCCATTCTGAGAAATGAATTGTGGATCTTTGCACTAAAGACTTTCTTGTTGCTAAAGTGCATTGTATTTATGAATCATAATACCAGTCTTAACAAACATTGTATGTTTTCTCCTTGCCTAAATAGTTTTATTGTTGAAAGGTTGTATTAAAGCAGAGAAATAATCTAAGATGTTTCAAAGTAATGTAATTGAGATTACTGGAGCAAAGAAAAAACAATGTGCCATTTTTTGGTTTTGGAAAAATTAGAAATGATTTATTAATTTAGAACATATTCCTAGAACAGTGATACCTTTCCTTCTTTAATTGACCAGAAATCTATGAATATGTCCAATGACGCATCCTTGTACTATGAGAACATAGTTGTCCCTAACTTTAGTAACATTTAGAAACACCTCAAGTTAATGGAAGGTAAATGCTTTGCTTCATGGGAGAAAATCTTATCCTTGTCCATTGAAAATTGGTTTCAGCATTTCAAAGGTAGATCAAGGTAGAGGTCTTAAATGCTTTAAAATAAAATACTGTAATTTAAACTATACCTACCATGATTATTTGTATTTCTTTGATTTAGACAATAAGATAGTTATGGAAAGGCACAGCTTGTACTGAATTTCACAATGATAAAAATGTAAACCACATCTTAAGTCAGAAAAAAGCATGTTACCAGATAGATAGCATTACTATTATGTTTCCTGTTATTTCTAAAAATGTCCTTTGGATTGGATTGGTTTTGAACTCACATTTAGTAGCTCAGTTCATTACAATTCTCTTTGTTCATTGATGTGCTGATGAGTCTCAGCAGAGTTTACCAAGAGGCCACAGTTTGCCTTTCAAGCCATTAGATACAGTATGGGTGCCGTTTATGTAACTGACATAGTTTTCTATTAAAAGTGCTGTCAATGAAAAAATTATTAGATACTTTTTTAACCTTACCTTAAAATGTGCAAAACACAATCAATAATTAACGAGCATCCAACCACAGAGCTGTTGAGAGCTGTGGAAGAATTTCCTTATGTAAAAAAAATCATGATACTGTAACAAGAGGCTGCAAAAGAGAGGAAGCATTTCCGCCTGTCTTGCTCATTGGGTAGTTTGATGGTTAAGTGATTCTAAAATTTCATCCCATCATTTTTTGAAGGCAGATTTGAAGTTGCATCCATCTGCTCCAGACAGGACAGCCATATCTACAGTATTTGTACTGTATATAGTACTGTATATAAAGTGTTTCCTATTCTCTGCCCTAAATTAATTCCTTTCTAATGTTTCATTAGAAACCCAGATCCTTTTCAAATTTTAGCTTCCAGCACCTCAAAATCCCCCATATTATATGAGTAGTGTACAGTATACAGTATTTCTACTTCCTGTGTGGATTGTTATGCACATTTTGATGTTATATTTGATTTGGTAAGCATCTCCCTCCTCCATGTTTTTGTCTTTTTGTAATTCCCTGGCCACTCTTTCTGTGCTTGTCCCTCCCCCGATTTGTGAATTATCTGCAAATACTGTATACAGTATGTGTACCAGAATCTAAATAATTGAAATAGACTGTTAATCTCCTGAGCCTCCTGCAAGTTTAAATTTGGGAAATTAGTAAAAAAAAAATACATTCTCTCAAGTTCTGAAGGATATCATAACAAAGAGTTGAGTGAGGATACTATAGGGATTTAGCCAAGCTATAATATACTTTTGTGGACAATGTGGTGTCAGATTATCTCACATAAGCCCTTACCATCTAGAAGTGCATCCAATATCTCCATTCTATCATCTCTGTTCTAGGATCTGGCTATCAGAGACTGTCTGTCAGAATTTCTAGAGGCATCTGTGTTTGTGCTGAAAAATTGATTCAGACAAAATAATTGAATTTTCACGGGTTACTCCAAAATGCTAGCATTCAGCCCCCTTCTGCATCAAATAAAATTGGATTTCCAAATCTATATACAATTATCCAAAACTGAAATATTAACATTTGAAAGAGAGGTTGTAAAATGACTGTTATCAGACAAGTAGAGTGTGTATAGATGAAGGCACGCAGAAACAAAATGTGTTATTTCATAGACACAGAATACAGTATATGGGGCAGATGGCAGATGACAGATGCAGGATTTAAATAGATTATGAATTTATAAATAGAGGTGACATTGATGAAAGTGTTAAGTCAAGCTTTGGATAGATGAATAGATAACCTTTACAGACCAGAATACTGTGCTGAAGCCTGTCTTTCTCTCCACAGTGAATGGTGGCTGGTCCTTGTGGACAGAGTGGTCTGCCTGCAACGTGCGCTGTGGGAGGGGTGTACAGAAACGTTCTCGCACCTGTACCAACCCAGCCCCTCTAAATGGGGGGGTGTTCTGTGAAGGCATGTCCATGCAGAAAATAACCTGCAACTCCTTGTGTCCAGGTAGGGTGCTCCAGGCATTGTTAAAAGCAACTGAGGGCCATATCCAAGGTGAACTAACCTTTTATGTTAGTAATTTGAGCCAAGGGGTGGCCACGGTATAAGATATGTATGCAAAATCCTTCATAAAAACATTGTAGTACACTGAATAATTCCTGCATGACAAAAAATATTAATTATTACTCTATATAGGTGTGAATGTGTCTTCTTTGTTTTTAACTTAAGGTTTATGTTCTTGAATGCTTCTTCACCTTTAGAAGTTGACCTTAAGAGGATTAATAAAGTAAACATGGGGAAATGTTTCACTTCAAAAGTTCACATGGAATATTGTAAAGAACCTTTTTCAAACAATGCGTGATAAGTGTTGTGCTGCACTGATGATTAAATGAAAGCTCTTAAATGAAAGATGACATGCAGAAACAGAGCTTTGTGGACAAGAGAATTAATTCCAAATCATGAAAATAGTTTTTTGTTTTTGTTTTTGTCTTGCAGAGTGACATGACCAAAAATCTAGCAGTCTAGAATTAGAATCTAGAATTAATGTGTCAGAAAACATATTTCCCTGCATGCACCGGGCTTCCATGTGAGAGTGCATTGTACCTTTAGAGAGAGCCACAGATCTGGTCTGAACTATAGTCTGTAGAAGGCTGTGGGAAATGATAAGATAAGATCACTTTATTGGCCATATACAATTTCTTGCATTAGGAATTTGTCTTTTCGCATACCCCAACTGCTCTCCATGAGACACGCAGACAGGGAGAGAAGCTTGGGGTCAGAGCGCAGAGTCAGCCATTTATATGGCACCACTGGAGCAGTTGGGGTTAAGAGCCTTGCTCAGGGGTCCAACAGAGTAGGATTTCTCTGCTGGCCGCAGGATATGAACCAGCAACCTTCCAGCCACAGGCACAGATCCTTAGCCACAGAGCCACCGAATGTACCTCCCACTGTCAACCTGGGCGTTTGACCAAATCCGATTGGTCAGGTGACACTTTCAGAAATAGGAAGAGGCATCGTGTCTGCTGTCTGTAAACAAAGGGCAGATATACTGAACTGTGCAGCATCAGTGTGGAAAGGAATCAAAATAGCAGGACCCTATAAAGCAAGGTAGCCTGGATTACAAATATAAATTGTTTTGTTTCATGTCAGTAAGATGCTTAGCTACACAGCTTCCTACTGTATGTGTTGAGAGGCACTCAAGAAAGTAAGGTTATGCTCGAGGTTTATGTGTGTCTAAGATCCAGACCAGATCGCTTTTCCCAGGTGTTGTCACAGCATACATTTCTGCAGTACTTCAAAACGATTTGCTGTGCAAAGCCAGATTATGACTTTGGCTCTGGACTCCTGACCTCTCACTCTTGCAGGCAATTAGCGTCCCCCTTGTCCAGTGGCCTGTGGGAGTGAAAGGGTTCACGACCAGACTCAAGTGCTGCTCTCAGCACCCAGTTAATACTGCTTCCACGTCCTGATACCTGCTTCACATGTATAGGGGAGTGTTTGTGTTCTCTTGTACTTTTTTTTCTTACAAGACATGGTGACAGCCAAATGTATAATTGTTTTCCACTATGCACATTAATTAACTGCTCCATATAATTTTTGGCACTGGGTATTTTTGCAGCTTTGTTAAGCCCTGCATTACAACATGACTTGTGTAATGTTCTAATGGCTAATTTCACAACTTTAGATGAAATATACATTTTATTTTAGTGAAACAATGCTGGTTTTATTACAGCTTAGGAATTTGTTTTCTTTATTTCAGACTTGGTGAGGAGAATCACTACCGTAATGGCCTAAACCTTTGGAAGTTATGTGTGTTGTCAATAATGGTGTGATATTTTCTCCAATTTTGTCTATGTTGCTTACACTGTCTTCTGTAATCCATATAATTCTCACATTATCTGTCAGGTAATGAAGCATGAGGGTATTGACAATGCATATTCACTGGTGTGCAGAGAACCAGACTTCAATGGCCTTATCTATTTGCTTAAGGGGGCTAATCATAAATGAACTGAAAAACTCAAGTGTAGGTTTGAACAATTTACGGTCCAGAGGGAGCTGTGTAATTAAGGGAGCATGGCGCTCTGGGGCACTCAGGACCACTGGTTGCCCTTTTCCCCTCCAAAATAGACAGCGATTTCAACTTCTGGGGTCAAACACTCCTGCTCCAGGGAGTCACCCTGCCAAATGTGTTATGGAGATATTTGCCTTTCCTAGTGAATGCTTTATGCATGGGAATTGATTTCTTCTATTTAAGAGAAAATGTGTCTGGGAAGCCGATCAGTGCCGCACGATGCACTGCAGTGTGTTGCAGAAGCACTATGAATTGAAGCCCATACCTGTGATATATTTCTCTTCGTACCTGTCTCTGCCTTCAGCAATTTCCACAGGAGCCACTTTGCTGGAACACTGAGTTAAAACAGTAAAGGGTGATACTTTAGAACTAAAAGTCTGCTAGATTATTAAAAAAAAACATAAACACCACAGGTGGGGAAATGGAGTAATGAAAATAGGCAGGTGATATAAATTTTCAGTTTTAAAAGGCAGTAGGCTATATCCATAAAGCATTTTCTAACACGGCAAGTTGAAAGAACTTTTAAAAAAATAGACTAGTGTTACAAAACACAAAAATAAACATTTAGACAGCCTATAGGGACTTGTGTATTAGCATCCAGAAGGATTTATGTGACACTCAACAGCTGCATTGTGGTGTCAGAATGGTAAATGTTTTATGAACTTGGCCCAGAGCATTTTAAAATTCAAAGCGTCTTTTTTCACTTCAAGGATCTAAGAAATACTTTCAAATCGGTGGCTGCCCACAGCCCTATAAAATCTATGTTCTCTCCATGCTGCTAATAAGGTGGAGATACTGCTACAAACTCTGAAATCCCTGAAGCTGCACATCATTCAGTAGCACACTGCAACTTAATCTGCGCGGGCTGTTTGAAGGCTCTTCACAAAATAAATTTATGATTTGCCACAAAATAAATTGCCTGGGAAGCACTCATCATATTACAAGAGTTTAAAAACATGTTCTTGAGGTAATCAGGAAAGACTAACACAAGGGCAATGTCATGTGCATCTTCATAACACTCAGCTGGGCACATTGTTTTTCTGAGGATGGCAAATGTACAAGTTTCACTAAACCTTTTTTTTTTAGTGGAACTAAACATTTTTACAGCAAAAAATCTAATGGATACTAAGAAAGGATTAAATACCTGAGAACTTGGAAAAGTGCCAAGCACTTTTTCACCCTCTCCATACTGACTCAGACATTGCATGATTTCAAACCACAGAGCAAATTTGTCAAAATGAGAGGGTGTAACCTGACCTCTGCACAAATTTGTTGATCACCCTGCTTTTTAGGGCTTTGAGCAAGGTTTCTATCCTCTTGAGGCACACAAAGCAAAGAATCAGACAACTTTGCAAAGAAGAAAAACTATAGCATCATTCAAGGACCAATTCAATGGCTATACCAATGTATTTCAGCGATTGTCACCATTACTATAACAAAATATGTTTCTTACATAATGTAGTTCTTTTAAGGAAAGCCCACTACCCTAATAGCAATGACACTTAAAATGGCCATTTAAAGTTTCTATTTTTACTTACTCAAGTTTTTTACGTGTACGTGTTGTTGAGCTTAAACCTCTAAAGACCTGATTCTCATTGGAGAAAACCAAATCAAACTACACTTTGACTCAAGCATAAGTCTTTTAAGTTCAAAGACTGGTCATCGGTGAGGCAATATTTGGTGGTGCCAGTCAATAAAAAATTAACCTGATTGACCGGCAGCATTCAGTCAACAGTCTACTGACTCTCTGGGTTTTATTAGTCTTAAGTTCCTGCGTTGTGATATAGATGCATCTCTTAAGTAGAAAGAAAGGTGGGGACAGTAACTGAGCTTGTGTGGGAGTATTGATGGAGGAAATTGTGGGAGAAATCTTGGCGTGAGTGGGAGGTTATGCCAAGGCGTTCTGCACATAGCAATGCCCCTTCTTGGTTCACGTGTCTTCCTTGTCGTTTGCAGTGGACGGTGGGTGGGACGCGTGGAGTGAGTGGACGGTGTGCAGCGCGGAGTGTGAGCACCGGCGCAGGCGGGAGTGTACGTCGCCTTCTCCGAGACATGGGGGAAAGGCCTGTGAGGGTCTGGGCCAGGAGGCGGAGAACTGCACTGACGGGCTGTGCACACAGAGTGAGTTTTTTTAAAGCCATCCAAAAGGCTGGGGCGCATAGCCAGGATAGCTGCTGGCCGGCACACTTTCATGAAATGTTTCTCCTTCTGTCATCAGTTTTTACGAGAGGGAATATAAAGAAAATCAGCAATACAAAGCTTTATATATCAGGAAACCTAGAGTCTCCTGTCTGAGAAACATTTGTGCCAAGGTCAAGGTCTCCTCCCTCAGAAAGCAAAAGAACAGATTCTTTTAAGATTGAGCATTTGTTTCACCAAAAACGGATTTATCTTTCCACTGTCTCCATACTCACATTGTGCTTCTTGAGGCAACGCCAAGTCTTGTCTTTCTGTGGGTAGCAGTCCAGTTTTGCTCAGTCACATTTAAAATCCAAAAAGAAAAGGCTGGGAAGATAGTGGGGGAATTGATTATCAGTACTTCGGTCTTGCAAATACGCGGCAGCAGTGAGGTGACTTTGAATGTGGGCAATGGAGATAAATGCAAGTCAAACCCTGTATAAGCAGGCATTCTTTGCTGAAGCAAAAAAACAATTGCCTGGCTGGCTAGGTAGTAAGCAATCTTGAGCCGACAGAAGCCTTTTTTATTGCTTTTTATCTTCCCGGCGCATAAAGCTTGGGGATATTGACAACTTGGTATATAATTAAAATTGAATGGAATGTTGTTGTTTTGTGTGTTTTTTGTTAGATTTTGAAGCAGCCATTCTATCCAGTTGTACCTTTGCTGATAAGCGGAAACCAATTATATTCCATGTGTGTTTTAAGATCGACTTTTCCAAGCTTTTCTTAAAGGCCTTATGTTGATGTGCAGTTAAAAACATTATGTACCTCACTGTGTTGTCCTATAAAACACCTCGGTCCATCATGCAATGAATTGCAATTGCTTGGGCTACTGCTATAGAAATGGGCTATAATTACCTTTCTCCTTCTCCATCTCCCTCTTTCGCCTGCAGATCGAAAGCTGCTACACGACATAAAGCCTCAGAGTAAGTTGTCCTTTTTTCTCTACCTAATGGCTTTTCCCCCCAAAGAAAGAACAACTTAAGGGGCCTCAAATGCTTGTGATTTGTAAGCACTTAGCAATAATCCACATGCTCAGACACATTCAGGCACTCCCAGCAATAGAAGGAAAACGCTGAAACTGATGTGTGAAAACTACACAACAGCCATGATTCAGTCTTAGAAAAAAAGGTTTAAACACCTAAAAAATGAAATAACCAGGAGATGCTCCTCAAACATCTTACTTCTTTAAGTAAATGTTACTTCTTTGAGCTTAGGGTTAAGAGTATCTGAAACACAATATCCAACCATGTCGCCAAAATCAACCTGATGGATCCTTCAAAGGAAGAAAGTTATTTTACATTCTGGGATTGATGAAATATTCGAAACCAACAAGGAAGACAAGTTGAATGGGCTCCTCCTGATTTAAACTTTCTTCTGTGTTCATGGATATTTTTGTTCATCATTTCTGATGTTGACACCTGAATGCAATCTGCACTAAATGGCCATTGGTCAAACAAAATGTAGCATTAATGAGTTCATTTGCTAGTTTTGAAAGTTTAAAAACTTTTTTAAAAATGTAATTTAATTCCAGAAATACTATTATTATATTACTATAAAATAATATTATGAATAGTGTGGTTTTAGCAACCATAATTGGTGTGACAGAAACAAGTATTTTTTTCTGCAAGAAAGTTAACTTTCAGTCTTGATGTATGTTGGGTATTTCATACTAGGCAGAAATATTTAGACTTAGAAAATTTCCGGACTCATTCTTAAGGCTGTCCTGGAAAGGAAATTTGATTTCAGGCACTGCGTTGCATTCAATAGTATAAAACAAATAATACATCAGGTGCACAAAATAATGCAGCAGTCATTTGAAAATTAAATGTTAAATCACACAGATTAGTTTTCAGCTTTTGTATTCTAGCAAATAACAGGATATACTAGTGTAACACGGTAGCTACTTCGGAGCAGAAACAGTTTTAAAGCTTAAAATAACAGTGACAGCCCTACCTGATTAGATTAATGGTCCCGTGTTTACCAAAAGATAACAGAGTGCTTGGAAATGTAAATGTAGAGGTTTAATGTTGGAAAGCCCTTACCATGAAGATACAAAGATAAGCTTACTTATTCCAGTTCTCGAAGTGGTGCTTTGGAATACAGTTCCATGTTACCTCAAGTTTTCCTCCACCTACTCTCTGAATCAAAATCGGTTCACAGTAGACATCTTTAATTCTTTTTCCAAGAAATCAAGGTAAAGAATAAAGTACTAGAGCACCACACGGTGCTCTAGTGTGCTGCACTGATGTGTGTTTTGTATCCAGTTACCTTTCCAGCTTATGATTTCACATTAAGGAATAAAGAATATTTTTCGAAAGCAGCTTTCTTAGCAGGCACAGAAACAGAAAATAGACAAAATTTTAATTAGACATATTTGAATCAGAAAAAGTTTGGGAAAATTCAAATACTCTTTTGGAAAGCAGCAGTAAATAAGAACTAATTTATGTGCTGTGATCTATCCAGTTCACTAATAACAGAGAATTCTAATTTAATTTATATCAAGACTTTAGCTGTCCAGTGTACCACTGTGTGACATTCACAGTTATTAAGTTATAGTGATTTGGTACAGAGCACAGAATATTTACCACGCTATGCATGATGCATAATGAATTTAATGGCTCCTACAAATCCACTCTGCATGATTTAATTCTGATATAGGAAAAAAGAGTCTTCGGTACATTGTCACCCAGTAATTCAAGTGCTCACAATAAACTAAGTGGGCAGTGCATTGTAATTAATTTGCTCATATCATGGACACTGATAATAATAGTTTCAATTATAACATTATAACATTCTCAAGGTTTCACTATGAAGCCCAAGACAAAAGCAAATCAGACGAAAACTATTTTTAAATTTTGCATCTTGAAGTACTCACAAACACAGGTCCAACAATGTTTAAATACTGTAACAATCCTACCAGTTGCCTTATTAAATGTAAAATTACACGTTCTGAGATTCATATGCACACTAGGAAGGTCACATTTTTCAGGTTTCAGATGACTTATAAGTACAGGTAGTCCTCGATTTTCAACTTATGACGAAATCGATTTACGACAGGATCGTCGCAACCTAACCCCATCATAAGTTGATTTCGTCATAAGTCTAAAGTCGCGATCGCATGTATCGCGATACTAAACAAACCATATGGATACGTACATCGCGACAACTTGCATCGTGATACTACACAAACCATACGGATACGTATATCTTCGAAGGACCTTGTCTTTTTTTAGTTGTTATTGTAGCTTTCATAGGCGCTGATCCTTTCACTGCTTTATGAATTCTTTCCCTGTCCTTTACTATTGTGGATATTGTCAAATGAGAAAGGCCAAAGTCTCATGCAATTGTCGATACCGATTTTCCATTTTCATGCTGCGCTATTATGTACACTTTCATATCTAAATCTATTGTCTTTCACTTTCATTTTTTCCTATCGGCAGCACCAGAACACTCGCTTTTTTGCTTGCTAACCGCTCAAACAATAACACGTGGCAGCACGGTGGCACACAGGCTGATGATGTCATCAACGTTAGACGTTATGACCATATGCCGGGACACGAAAATAATATATGGTACTGTACAGTCATACGATTAAGGGGACGACCGTCATAAGTGCGAGTGGTCATAAGTCGAGGACTACCTGTACATCAAAAATGCTACAAAGGAGAGGAGGCCATTCAGCCCATCAGGTTTTTTTATCTGTGCTTCTACAGTATGGTCCCATAAGCTTTTATTCTAGAGTAGCCAATCAAGCTAATCTAAAGAACTGGGCAAAATCCCATGCAACCATGCATAAACTCCTCACAGATTGGTGCTACAAGCGGGACCTGGGAAGTGTGAGGCAGCAGGGTTAACAACCAGTGGCTCTGTAATCCTCATTCTCCTGCTCCTTCAGTCTCCTAATCGAGACTAAAGGAGGGCTTTAAATTGGAAGGTTCTGACACATAGAGCCACTTCTTTTTTCTTAGTCATTATTAAACTAGTAAGTTCCAGAAGGAAAAGTCCCCCGACAATGCAGAATCTGAAATCTTTTGAGTCAGTTGGTACATTAGCAATGATTTTGTAAATCTCGAGAACTGCAGTCTCAGAAGCAGTTCCTGGAGGGGCTAGTGTCTTCTGCTTTTTGTTCCAACCTCTTTCTCACTTACGTGGTTGATATAATTATTGAATTAGCTGTATACTTGTTATACATCTAACCAGGCTCCAAAGTAATTTATAGGTAACTGGCCTTTTATTGAAGTGAATGTCTAATGTAATCAACTGTAGAAGACATTAAGAAAAATCCTATATATGTCTAATTTAGAACAAAGTGAGCTTAATTGTTTAATATACGACTAAGTTTGAGACAAAAACCAGAAGGCACAGGAACTGTTTGAGACCCCTGTGGAAGAAAATATAAATATGTAACTATCAAGGTTGTTAAAACATTAGAAAGAAGATGTCATCTTTTGCATGTTTTGCACACCGTCCTTCAGAATGGGCAGCAGGGGTTGCCCTTAACAGAAAGCTGATAAAACTGAGCTGAGCAACTGATCATTTGGGGCATCAGAGCATGTGCTGTACAGAAGGAATTAATGGAGTGTAATTATTGCAAATGGGCTAATTTAATCAATTATACGTGCTAATATTCCCAGTGGAATTCATGTATCTTAATTTCTAGCCCCTGCACTTTTTAAATTATTATCAGGTGCTATGCAGAATATAATCACAGTCATTTGGAGAAACTTCATTAGCATTAAAGATGCTTCTAATGAGTGCGAGGTGCAAGCCTCATAATAAACACAAAAATGATCTGTTGAGCCACAAAGTACTTTATAACATAAACAGCTACCAATCACCAGTGACTTGCATTACCTGCAGTCTGACGGAGACAGCCCTCACAACTTTTATTCTGGATAAGGAATTGTGGACCTCTGTGCAGTACTATGTTTCAGGTCATGAGGTTGGATCACACAGCTTTGATCTGCTCAATAGAAGATTAACTGATGAACACATCATCGCCCTGGCTGCAATACAAACCCAATTGCCTTCTGGATAATAAAGTATCTGTCAATCATCTAGGCAGCAGAACACCACTGAACAGAAACTTTGCAGAACATAATTCAGGAGCTTGCAGCAGCCCTATAATTTTCAGCATTTTGTGATTGCTAGTTTGGATGGTTATGTTTTGCCATTGTCTCTTTTGGCTAAGAGAGCAATGGCCTGTTCATGGGAATGAGGCTGTTGAACCTCTCATTAACTAAGTGGAGTGAGCTTAGGGGAGAGTGGTAGGAGGAGAAGAGGTGTAAGGCAACAAATAATTGGAAATTAGTGCTTTTGCTACCCATATTTCAGCTGTATGAAAGCTAATGGTTGACTTCTGTCCTGAGTTTGTGCTACTAAACTCCATTATTTGAGAAGCTTTTATTAACTTCTTAGAATCTTAAGCTCTGTTGCCTCACAATTCCCAAACCAGACTCTTATTAATTACTTGTAAGGGAAATATGTGCTTGCAAATAGGATCTGCACCTGTGGCTGGAAGGTTGCCGGTTCGTATCCCACAGCCGGCAGAGGAATCCTACTCCGCTGGGCCCCTGACCAACGCCCTTAACCCCAACCGCTTATAAATGGCTGACCCTGCGCTCTGACCCCAAGCTTCTCTCCCTGTCTGTGTGTCTCATGGAGAGCAAGCTGGGGTATGCGAAAGATAAATTTCTAATGCAAGAAATTGTATACGGCTAATAAAGTGATCTTATCTTATCTTAAATGTCATGATTATAACTAAAATCTGCCATGCCCTTAACCATGCCCATCTGCCATGCCCCTCCATTGAGCAGTGGGGCGAGCTAGTATCTACATGGTAGCTAGCCTCCTGTCATTCAGCCACTTAGCATGGTAATTAACTTGATAGGAGTCTTGTACCACCTGGAGGCAATTATCCACCATGCCTGGCAGGTTCAAGGCTACAGAAGGTGTGATTTGGGAGTGCTTTGGACCACAGTTAGGTGCATTTCTAGTGTCCGGAGTTCTTACCTCATTTAATTCCTGGATTATGGACCTTGACCTCGTTCTTTGGACTCTCCTCTGCTTTGTACTGTGTCTCTTGGCTTTGAACTTTGCTTGTCCATGTTTACGGGGCACACCAGCCTGCTTGGGTCTACCTGGACCATGCTTCCCTGTCCTCACCTTCACTGCACCTGTCTGTCTCCACTGCCCACAGCAAACACAGTGCAGCTTGCTCACACTGCTGTTTACCTGTTTGCTAGTGTTTCTCTGTGTGCTCTTGGATTTGTTTCATAAAGACGTGTCACTCCATTAATATTCCCTGATTTTGGTTGTCTTCTCATATTTTACTGTCTTTAGTAAGGTAAAATTAAACATTGAGTCCCTAAGAGGTCATATGTAAATGATGTTATTCTCTATTCAAGGTTGTTGATTTGTGAAGTCTAGAACCACCTGTATGAAACAGATAAATAGTTATTGTTCCTTTGTTCCAATGTATTTTAAGCTTAAAGCTGCCCAGAGATGAACTTGAGAAACCCTGAGCTGAGGGAATTTGCAATAAAGGAGTTTAGAGATGTCCACTGAAAAAAAAATAAAAGCAACCCTACCAAAAGACACAAGGCACTCATTACAGAAGAATCAATTCCTTTTTTTTCCGATCCGACAGCTAGCTGATGGTCAAAATCCATTAGCTGTAGGTTCCCAGGGCCAGAAACTATCTGTTTCTTTTCTCATGCTCTTTTTGTTCAGCTTTTGTAAGTTTTTCCATTGATCCTTATTTTGTCTTTCTTTCTTAATTTTAAGGAGGCGGGTTGTTTTCTCGTGAAAGAGACGAGCCTTGCAAGCAGCATTTTAAAAGGATTAAGTCTTCCTCAACTTCAGTGTATCTGCCCTTGTGTGCTTGGCTACCTGTCACCTCAGGGGCAGGATACAAACAGATACTAGAACAACCTGAAAAATAAGAAAAAATGTAACAAACTGTAATTAATTTCTCCGTTTGGCAGACAAGGAGAGCAAGAAAGGCAATTTTCAAACACTAGCCTTGGACAAAAGCAACACTTAAAAGAAAAATAAAAGCACAACTTGATTTAATTGCAATGCATTTTTCAAAACACAAATGAATTTCTAGAATACCACACTGATAACTGTGCAAGACATGAAAAAATGTAATTTTGGCCATACAAATTGGTAATTAAAAATGGATGGAATTACATTATACATGTCTTGTTGACCTAAAGCTCTGAAATTTGGAGGTGAATGAACATGATTTTCTATCATACTACAGATGTCGGCTTATTGCCTCTGTTATGTTTCTGCAGTACCATTCTTCATTGTCAATTCAAATTGAAACGTGAATTAATTCAAACTTCCAACCCACCTCTCTATTAATGAATTTCCTGATGAGTATATTCAAGAAGCCTCTGATGGAGGCTGAGGCTCTAGAAAGATGTTCAATTCATGATTGATTTGGTGGGTTGAAGTTTTGATTTGATCTGAGGGCCTTTATCCATATTATAATTGTTTAAGCCTAGCTAAATATATAATAAACGATAAGATTAAAACAAAGTATAAAATACCTGATGTCAAAAGCACAAGATTAATATGTTATTATTATTATTTTTCTTGGAAGTACAATACAGTGCAATATTATGCTACGGTTATACACATTTTAGATCATTACCAATGTTACCACTGCCGCACATGACATACTTAGTGAACTTTTTATCAAGTGTTTTCTTAAGTCTGTTTTGCATGCATGTACATACAGCATATGTGCATGAACTATGTATATTGTGCAACTAGAACATAAAGAAAACCTTCTATTATTTTGTTGTGACGAGTGTCAGTGTAAGTAATGTGTCATCACTTCGTTGGCATAGAAAACTCTGTTCTGTATGCCACAAAAGTGAATAAGTCATGTTGGTTTTAAAATAATTTTATGTCTTATGTGCTATGATGCTTATATATTCCAGAACACTTCCTTAGATTCCCTTCCTTTGTATGACACTGAAGCTAAAGCTTATTTTTGTAAGCCTCTACACACATTATCATGTGTTTTTATACTTTTAGAAGACATGTTCGTCCAGATGCCATAGTGTTTATTTCTGGGGTTCAGCTCAGTCACTTAGACACAGACGTTCAAAGGCACATCCGGTTATTCATGGCAAAACAAGGTTCTTGCATCAATTAACACTTTGTAAAATCTTAAAACAAATGCATAGCTGATTGTCACCAGGATTCCCAAAGCAGCTGTGCACAAATGGCAGAGTGCTGCTGTGGTACAGCTGAGATTAGTCACACCAGGCTCTCTCAGGTTTCCAGCAGACAGCGACTGCTGTGACTTTCTGTCACCTGCAGTCTTGCACTGAGAGTTGTGCTGCTGCTCCAATTCACGCTGTCTCGCCCGTTGGGCACTGTGGAGTTTGCACTGTGTCAAATGATAAGTGGATCTGCAGATGTCAGAGGATGCCTGCCTGCCTGCACCTCTCAGTCAGTCTTTTTCAATTGCAAAGAGTGTACGCTTAAAAATAAAATAAAAGCGAATCAAGGGCCGCATTTAAGATACATCATGACCAGTTAAATCGGAATTTGACAGTCCAAACCAGAACGTTTTTCCCATCATTTTGATCTGATTTTACAGGTGTGGAATTAGTGATTTTTTGTTTTTGTAACATGGTTGTGCTGGGCATTGTAATGACATTGGTAAGGAATGGACTAGCATACATAGAGAGGCCTTGCTTTAAGGGCTTGTCCTGCCTCTCTCTTTAAGGTATGGAAGGCACCAGTGATGTAGCCCTGTACTCAGGCCTTGCTGCCGGGGTTACTGCCGTTGCGGTCCTGGTGGTGGCAGTGACGCTGTACCGGAAGAGCCAGAGCGAGTATGGGGTAGACGTCATCGACTCCTCTGCCCTGACTGGAGGTTTCCAGTCCTTCAACTTCAAGACCACCCGGCAAGGTGAGTTGTAGGAGGCATGTGTGGGGTTTCTTACAACAGATCCCTGCACTGCTGTGTCTCAGAGCCATGTTTGGTGGTAATTAATCTTGAAAGAGAGAACAATATTGAGTAAAGTTTTGTTTAACAACTACAGACAATAGAATGTCTAACTTCAGTCTGACTCCTTTCGGGAGGGAATATTTCCCTTTGTCCCCAGCCAATTTTCCCCACAGCCCACAATTTCCGCTTGTCTTCACTGATTGATAAAAAAATGCATATTTCTAAGCCCTTAAGGATGTGATCCAAGTCCACCAACATTGAGTTAGGAATATGTGGTTACATATGTGTTACGTCAAGTGACATGTACACATGAGGTATTGTCTGCTCAAAGGACTGGAACACATGACGGATAAAACAATTGGAAAATAGACAAAATAATCTAATGCTGCTAAATGTATAAGAAAGATTAACAAAGCAAGGAATCACAGAGAAAATAATGCAATGTTACGAACACCGGAAAATAAGAATGTGCAGCCCTTTTTTTATGAAAGAATTAAATTTTTTTCTAATTAAACTGTTTAGAGTCTAGACATTCTATTAGAAAGTCGGAAGCAAAAAAACTAAAACCATTGTAATAGTAACTAAAGATATTCAACAATATTAGTATAGAAGAAAAACAACTATCCCAGCAACTGGCAACATGTTCAAGGTATTTCCTAAGTCTTTCAACAGTGTTTTAAGCTTAAGACTAAGAGAGCTGTACTGTATATGTCATTATTATTTTGAATACCACTGGGATTTGAGCAGAACGTGATAATATCCAACATTTTAGGATTTTATAGCATAAA